ATTGTCTGGTTTCTTTTATTAACTTGTTCGAGGAGTTTGTTTATTTTATGAAATCCCTGCAAGAGAATCTGTTGAGCATATGTCATGCTGAGGTAACAGGAAACTCAAGAATTCACGACAATTTTAATATAAAAATGTTGCTTTGAAAATGTATACTTAGAGACTGTGAGAATGATCACTACGTATTATTGATAAGTCTGCAGTACCATTTAGCAGAAGATTCTGTGAATGTCCCATAACATACAAGAACAAATAAATAGATATATTTCATTATATATATATAGCACAAACATGTTCCACAACACTTTACAGTCATAGAATGGCGATAACTGATAAGTAGTTGACATTCATGGCCCTGATCTGACTAGCAGCCAATAGGCTAAGAGTGTCTGCATTTTTCTCACTCCATTTTGTGAATGGGGAGCTTCTGATTGACTGTGAGCATCATCTGAGATTTCAGGAAAGTTTTTGACACTGTTCCACCGACAAAACAAGCTCAAAAATTGTATAGACAATGTATTAATTAAAGTTGAGCATTTTCTGTAAATGGCGTATTTTCCAATGAAAGGAAAGTAATATACTGTGTTCCTCAGTGCAGGTTCTTGGACCAGTTATTTTTGTGTATTTCTTAGTAACACAGCACTTTCAGCTAAAATATTCCTGCACATTTGGTTAACACTCCTGCTTTAAGGTTGTTTGGAAAATCCCAATAGCAGATATGGTAGTGACTTATACAGCAAGGAGTTCAACTTATTACTAACCTGAGCATGAAACACAATCAACAATAAATCTCTACTTTTAGAAATGAAAGTTTTTTGTTTTTTTTTATCTATACAATGATTATCCTTCTGTCTGTCTATCTCTCCATCCAACCCAATTTAATATTGGAATCTAATCTCGCAAACTTGTGGGGATTGTATGAGGGTATCACAGAGATTCAGAAAAGGGGACATCTTTGGATCTTTGTGATATGCTCATACAAATTCAATTAAATCGTGAATTATCAAAAGTGAATTTCAACTAAACACTGCTGCAGCTTTCTCTGCATGGTCCCGGCACTCTCTGTATAGTTGCGAGGGCAGGACAGGACCCTAATTTGTGACTGTCCCAGTGAAAGTGGAATAGCTGGGAGCCCTTCATGGCTAATAGGGAAAATTCAAATAATCTGTGCTAACTACCAGAGTTTTGTATTTTGTACTCCCAGACAGGAAATATATCTCACATTGCCATAATGTGGGTATTTTAGCTCCTGCATGCTGTCTGCACACTGGAAAATGTTGGAAGTTTTATATAACATTTTCCAACTCTGATGTGTAGCCATGATATCATAAAATGCTAACTATTTTAAGACTTAGTTGACAATCTCAGAGGGGAATTAGCTTCCTGTGCTGTTAGCTAGAGCGAGACAGACACGTTTACTGGTCCTCGTTGCCAGTTTAAATGCATTAGGAGACTCTGCACAAGATAAACAGCGTGCAATAAAAATAAAAAGAGTTAGTGCATTCTGATTCTGCAACAAACTGTAACAGCATTTGATTGATTTGTGGGGCTATTTATGATTAGCCTTTCTAGAGCAAAGTTCTAAAACTTGACAAACAACCGTAGAAATTGTTGGAATACTGCTAACAATTGATCCTCATTTAGCAGTGTTACCCAAATGGGAGGATGAGTCACCAATGGAATGTGCCTTCTGGGTCCACTGGTTTCCATGGCGACTGGCCCACTTTTAGTACTTTAAACCACTTTTTAAAGTGTACCTTGTGTTAGAAATTCTCTTGTTTTTTTCTGAGAACCTTAGTTTTCATATTATAGATAAGGAAAAATAACAATCAAACTGACAAAACCTGATGGGCGCAGCTTAAAGGTACACTATTGGGTCAGGAATATGAATTTCTGACCCTATAGTGTTGAAAACACTATTTGGACGGCTGGCCCTCCCTTGCATCTCTATGAGGAATGTTCAGTGTCTCCATGCAGAGCGTGGAGACGCTGAACATCATTGCTGCACAACCCTGGAAGCACCTGAGTGACTGCCATTAGAGGTGTTACTAGGCAGCAATGTAAACACTGCCTTGAGATCCAGCACAAGAAAAAAAAAAAGACACATATAAAAAGGTAATTGTCAAGCAAAGCGGATAATCATAAAGGGGATAAGGAAAGGAAAACCAAGAAAAAAAAATGCCAGGGCCTCTTTAAAGGCAGTTATTTTCCTAAAGGATTCCAATAATATGACACAGAGGAATGATTTGGACCGCCGAGAAACGAAATACTGAACATAAAAGCAGAAGTGAATATTTATTGCAGGAGTCAAATTGAGCTTTTCCATAAAAACTGCATGGAGATTACTGATCCTACTGTACTTTTGAGTGGAAATGTATCCTCAGCAATTTACACAATGGGTCTATGTGCCTTTTTTATTTTTCAAGTTATAGTTTTGCTCACAAAAGAGTGCTGCCTGTACTATACATAAACATACCTCTCAAGTATCCTTATTTAGGAGGGACAATCTTTATTTTGGGCCCAAATCCCTCTCTCTCTCTTTTCTTTCCTATTGTCCATCTTTTCTAGGCACTCCATAGTGCTCCACAGCAATAATACAGCAATGTGTCCATTAACTACAATAAATGTGTTCAGAAATCAGTCTATGTAAATACAATAAATTATTCATTTAAATTGCATTTTAGTTGCACAAATTATTGTTAGTATGTAACCTAAAATTCCTCAGAACAGCCAAACCCCACAACCACACTCACATCTCTAAAATTAGAGTCCCACTCTTTGTCTATTTAAAAAGGTTGGTGGATATGTGGAAGGAAAATATTGTTAAAAGAATAAATGTTGTTGTATGTACATGCATTACCTGTTTGCTTTTAAGTTGTTTCTACATTCTAGAGAGATTTATTTATGTGTACTGGACTTGGTTGCATTGTTAAAGGAACACTCTAGTGCTGGAATCAATGCTTAGGTATCTTGCCCCCTTTCCCCTGTCTGTAGAAATTAAAGGTTTAAAACTTACCTTTACTCTCTCGGCTGGCTGCCTCCATGACTAAGATCATCAATCTTGATGATCTCAGCCAATCCAATGCTTTCCCATAGAAAATTGGAAGAGGCTATTAGAAAATAACAAAAGCATTGAGCAATACTTATTTCCACCATCAGGGCAATAATTAAGAAGTTCGAGTCAACTGGAAATGTGATGACTCAACCTATAGGAGGATATGTTTCTACAGTCTCAACACATTGTGAAGAGGATGGTTTGAGTGGCCAAAAAGAATCTTAAAACTTAGTTGTGTCTTGGGGCACAAAAATCTTCAAAACGGTAATCTGACGTCAACTACATCACCAAAAGTTGTTTAGAAGCCTTTCAAGAAAAGAAAACCTCTACTCATTCAAAACCAAACTCAAATGTCTTCAGTTTGCCAGACACTACTTGAGCTTCAAATGGAATCATGTTCTATGGTCAGATGAAACCAAAATACAGATTTTTGACAATGAACACCAGAGATGGTTTTGGTGCACATAGAGAGGTAGCCTTTTGGAAAAGTACTTCACGTCCACGAATATGGCCGTGGCTCTTTGATGTTTTGGTGCTGTTTTTTTGCCAGAGAACCCTGATACATGACAACATGGACTCCATCAAATATTAACAGGTATTAAATGACCACCTGACTACCTCTGCCAGAAAGCTTATGTCTGTGGTTGGATCTTTACGCAGAAAAATGATCCAAAACATACATCAAAATCAACACAAAAATGTTTACTCACTTCACAATCAAGGTCCTGCCAGGGCCATACCAGTCCCCTGGCTTAAACCCTGTAGACAACCTGTGGGCTGAGCTGAAGAGTCCACTATCATCAACCTTAAAATTTAAAAGACCTGGAGAGATTCTGCATGGAGGAGTGGTCTCAGATCCCTTGCCACGTATTCTCCAACCTCATCAGGCATTATAGGAGAATACTCAGAGCTGTAATCTTGGCAAAGGGTAGTAGCACAAAGTATTGACTAAAAGGGTGCCAATAGTTGTATACGCATATATATATATTTTTTTTAATAAACCTGTGTTGTGTTTGCAATTGTCTGATACCCATGAGAGAAGAGTATTTTTGTATATTGTTTTTAACAAAATGTTAAACAATAAAGGCAATTTTTTAGACACACTGCTCATATTTACCAAGGTTGGCAAAATTAGCGAAAGGCACTGTAAGTATACAAATGGTGCAGCGCCCAGACATTTTGCCTTGGGGTAGCAAAGAGAATACATTCTGCTGTGAACTTCTCACAATTAAGTTGTTATGGTGAAGGAGGTCTACCTTACTTTAAAGGGTTAGACAAACAAACAGTTTAATCCCAAACATTGAAAAATGCTGCCTGATCGCTCTGCCTCTCCACTTCCACTGATGGTTCGAGGCTTCAATAAAGAAGCCTTGGACCAGATGCTCCTGATAGGCAAAGAGCGTCAGATGATGCTCTCAGCCTATCACTAGCTCCCTATTCACAAAAAGAGTGAAAAAGAAACATACTTTTTTGCTCTCAACCTTTCAGCCTCACCTGGTCTTAGGCTGCCCTGTCCTGCACCATTATGGCAATGATGATATGGTGCCAGGATTATCCCTTAAACTCCAGTACCTTATCCAAATCTTGATATAGTAAACCTGAAAAAAACTACTCAAAACCCATAATGGCTTTAAAATAAATAAAAGACAAATGTCATATGTAAAGTAAATAAATTGATCTCCTAGTCATCTGGCCACTATTTTAAAAAATACTCATTTCTTTTGGGCACTTGGAAGCTATGGGATCTTTTGTAAGGGGTTCTGGAAATATTTATCAGTTATGTTCATTGTTTCTTGAATTATCACCCTATTATTACTACTCCAGAGACACAATGGTGTTTGCTCTTCTTTGCTTTCATATTCTTTCCATTTTTAGGTCTATGATATTGGTGGATTGCTCAGGTCTGAGGGATGCTGGAATTTCTTTGTATTTTGGCTAGAGTAGAGTGGATCTAGGAGGGGGAGCTAGGACAGCCTCTCAAAAAAGGGAGAGGGAGAGAATGAGACCCACCCATCCTATTTCTGTTGACTGCTCACTTATTCTATACCCTTTAGATTTCTTCAGAACTTCCAGGAGCCTGAAGCTCTCTCTACTCTGTTCCCGAGGTATGAAATTGCATTTTTCTTTAAAAATATTCTAACGTAATCCCCAGGTACACAGAGTGTTCTTTTATTTTCTATGAGTCACTTCGTGTAACTAAATCATTGCTAAATATACAGATATATATCAAAATGGAATCGAAGTAACAAGTATACATTGTATGAGAGTATTGCTACAGTTTACAGAGATAATTCAGAATCTTGTTATGAATATGATCCATGTACCTGTGAGGTTCATTTTCTTTCATTGATAATATATAGACAGACATATAGCTTTGGTAGGTAATCATAAATATTAAACTGCAGAGATTCACTTTATATACCTGTATGGCTCGAGGTACACTTTATGTCTCTCTGGCTTGTGTGATTTGTCACTTAGAAGTGCTGTTTGATGATAGAATAGAAGTGTAAAAACAGCTGGAAATACACTGCGGATGTTGGAATTTCAATAATCCAATTTAGAATATATTTACTGAAGTTTTCAAACTTCAGCAACACACCCACGCACACACACACACACATAATTATATAAAAACACACACATACACTGTATAGTAAGTATTATTTCAAACACAAGTTCTTTTATATATTTTAGTAGATTTCTATAGAATTTAAGGATGCCATTTAAACAGTATATAATAATAATAATAATAATAGTTATTATTATTATTATAAATGCAATAGAAACCAATGTTTGAATATTTATCACCCATTAAAAGTATAAGAGATCTTGGTTGGTAATAATTGATAATTGTCAGGTGAGTTATGGGAGATAATTACAAGAGTTATGGAAGATGAAAGTATAATTACAAGAATACCATAAAACAGTATGGACACAAAATATAAATATAACAAAATGTGTCCCAGTGACACAACATGTTCAAATTACATAAATTTTGAACTCCAATCTCCTAGCATTTCCACTCCTCTCAAATTAGCGTCCAGTCGGTTAATATAATGGTCAAGACAAACAATCTAATGTAGGCTCATGTGATGGTTTACCATACATGCTTTGCATCTGGTAGTTGATACCTGAATTGGCTTTCCAGCAGAAGTGGTATGGCAAGCAGTAATTAGGAACTATAAATGGTGATGACTTTTAAATAAGAAATTAATATTACACTAGAATAAATACAAAGAATACATACACCAGCTTTAAGGCAAACAGGGAGCAGGCACATTACATGGCAGATAGTTTACATGTGCATAAAAAGTACATTCCTCAAAATTATAATCAAATAGTAGCTATTTATAATCTGTTGTGGACCATTAATTCTCTGTGCATAACAATAGATGATGATGAATGAATTACAATGATTAGCTTGGTAACAAGTAGGATAATTGAATTGTTTAATAGGACACAAATGGCTGTGACAACATCAAGATGTTGCTTATGACATTAATCTGTTTGCCTGTGCGTGGCAGATCCCCCTAGCAAGGGAAAAGGGCTAGTGCATCCATTGTCTGCCACATAAGCAAAAAGTGGGGGATGGGTGGGATTGAAGAAAAGAAAGAAGGGGGGTGATATTATGTGGGACAGAAAAAAACTTTTCAAAGTTACTGTGAGCCTAACCCCGCCCATGCCTGCCTACCCTCTCGCATTACTCAGGCCATGAGGAATGCTTGTTGCTATGGGAACGCAGGCAGGTCCTTTCCTACAGGGTGATCATCACAGCCTTTCAGCACCCAGACAGGGGATGTTCTGAACAAAACTTCTGACAGCAGGGACTATTGTATTTTGAGATGTTTATTGTGCCCAAATAACAACGGAGTAGCCAAGCAATGCCCAGTGACCTTTTCTGTAATACATTATTTGCAGACATTTTGCAGAAAAAAAATTAATTAAAAATAAGTACATACATTAGATAGAAAGATGAATAGAGAGATAGATAGATATATAGATAGATCGATAGATAGATAAATAAATGGATAGATAGATAGATAGATTGATTCCCCAAAGACGCTCTTTGAAATTACAATATTGCATGGTGGTGAGTGCATATTCTACTCAAAAATTGGCAGTGCACCGTATCAAGTCACCACAACTGAGGGAGCTATATGGTTAGGGTATTTGGGCAGAATATGCAAATGCAGCCCCTAACCTCTCCCTTCCCAATATAAAGGTGGTAACAAATAATTTGCCTAGTATAATAAGACCTGTAATAAGCATAGGACTGTAAAGGACTGTAATTTTTTTTTTTAAATCGATTTAGTTTCTTTTTTAAATTAAATAGAATAGTTAACCTCTGCTTTTCCTTGGAAATCAACGTACATCATCAGAAGCTCAAAAAAGTATTCCTCTTTTCTGCACAATGTAAAACTGGGGTGTGCTCAGCCTGTATTCTATGATACTATAGTTCCCCTGTCTCTAGTTATATTCATAACCCTCCCCCCTCCCCGCTTTTCCAATAAAAATGAATAAAATGTAAGTTTTACTGCTCACGTCTGCACCTCCCTCAGTGATTGCCAATCTAATACTACTTATACAAGTGCATTCATATGATATGCATGCTTAGCGACTGCTGCACATGTATCCAAGCCTCCCCATAGAAAAGCATTGTATGCAATGCTTTCTTATGAGCTTTTGTGTCACGTGAACGAGTTTTACTGTTTTATATTGCAAGATTAAAAGGACAGAGCCACTGCACCAGCTACAATTCATTGAGATGAAGAGGTGTGGGTGACTTTTGTGTCTTTTTTTAAAGCTGATATGACACCTGAAAATGGTGCTTAAAAAACCAGTAGATGAAATATAAGTATATATATTGTAATGTATATTGAATCCGTAAATTAATGTTTTTGAGATCTGTTTAAACATTCACTTATACATTTTCTGTTCCTTGTGTAGGGTAGGAAACATTTTAATACCATTTACCTGGCAAGCTGATTAGCGGTTTACTGTACAGTTAAATCCTTGTGAAATGCTTCCTAAAACTAGAACATGCATTTTTCCAAAATAGCCATTGCACAAGGATTTCTATACTATGGTAGCTGACATCTATTATTAAACATCATTGTTGACATCTCTTAGAATAGGTTATAGTGCCTGTAGTCGCCTGACGCTGTCCCTCCATTCAGGGTTAAACCATTTTAGAGCAATTTAGCACTAAATAAGGGTCCCTGGACACTAACAGTCCAGCCCCTTCTGGAGGAGTGGCTAAGGCAGAGAATACACACTTCCCTGTAGTCGTAGCATTCATATCATCAGTTGGAGCTCTGATCGGCTAAAAGCAGTCAGTTGACATTCTCAACCACAGCTGCCCATGGCTGCTCAGGCTAATACTTTCTCATTAGCCAAAGCAGCACAGATGGAATGGGCTGCTGGGGATTCTTGTTTAGCATTAAAACATAAAAACTTTAAAAACTGTTTAATGCTGAATGAAATGATGGTACCAGGGTGTGAATCAGATACAATGCCTAAAGTGTCCCTTTAAGATCTTGAGCAATATATAGACAATTTGCTCTTTCCTATTGATGGATTTATTTTTGTGGTTTCCATAACACTTTTAACTTACCTCTAAAGCTGCTTTTCTGAGGCACATAAAAACAGAATCTGGTAAATATTATTTGGACATTCTAATATGTGCCTTGGGAAAGACAACCACAGTTGGTCCATTTGTTATCTAATACAATTACCATAATTTTCAGTGCTCAGCCGACTAATGCTTGTCTGACCATCTTGGGAGGTGTTGTTCATAACAGCTGGGATTACAGTGCCTCTCTGTTCTGGTTTGTGTCCAAAGATGTTTTGCTGGTGAACGTTTAATGGGCTATAGGTCAAATTAAATTTCCTGCTTCTTGCCTACTTGCATGAGAGGAAGATGTAACAAAAACAAATGGACCTCATCTGCATGAGTGTGGGGTAAGAATAAATCTAAATGGAGGATGGCAGACCAACAACACAAGGCATCATTTCACATTTTTTATTATTACTATTTGTGCTTCTAATAATCAGAAAAAAATAGACATTGGTTTATTGGGTAAATGTAATATATACATATTTAATGCAGGGATAATTTCCATCTCGTTTTTATAAAATATGTAAATAGTTTCCTATGCAAACCCTTTGTAAATCTCATCACACAAAAGGAGCACGTTTTACTTTAGGGTTACTAAATTAAACACCCTAATTTGTTCAAAAGTAAATAATTCTTAGAAAGAATCTTTAAAGTTCGGTTATACCCAAAATATAGATCTATTTGACTTTTTGTGGATGCATGTGTTTACACTAGAGTGGGTGTGCAAGCGCATGTACAGAAATGTAAGATAAACAAGTAAAAATATTTTTCTGGGACACTACTCGCTATTTAGCTAGACTGATAGAGTTAGAGTACAGTTTCCGTGTCAGGCATGACTCGGGGTCACTTTGTTTTATTGACCTTCCTCTTACTTTCATTTCATTCATTCAGCATAGTGGTAAGGCTATGCATGTCTTGTTCGTGGGCAGCTACATACCAAGTTTCCACCCAAAAGAAATGTGATAGCAGCTTACAACAACCATGGCAAGCCAAGTATAATTAACGGACACTATAGTGCCAGGAAAACATACTTGTTTTCCTGGCACTATAGTGCCCTGAGGGTGCCCCCACCGTCAGGGTCCCCCTCCCGCCGGGCTTTCTCCAGCGCCGGGCGGGGAGCTCTCCTCCTCCTCTCCGCCTCTTCTCCTCCTCTTCGGCTGAATGCGCATGCGCGGCAGGAGCCTCGCGCGCATTCAGCCAGTCCATATGAAAGCATTCTCAATGCTTTCCTATGGACGCTGGCGTCTTCTCACTGTGAAAATCACAGTGAGAAGCGCGTAAGCACCTCTAGCGGCTGTCAATGAGACAGCCACTAGAGGCTAGATTAACCCTAATATAAACATAGCAGTTTCTCTGCAATGAGACAGCCACTAGAGGCTGGATTAACCCTAATATAAACATAGTAGTTTCTATGAAACTGCTATGTTTACAGAAAAAAGGGTTAACCCTAGCTGGACCAGGCACCCAGACCACCTCATTAAGCTGAAGTGGTCTGGGTGCCTATAGTGGTCCTTTAAATTGTTTGTGATATTGCTTGAAATGCATATAACAAGTCAATTTAAATGTTAAAGCTAAATGTCTTATATATGTATATAAAGAGTGGTAGCTTGGAAGACAGTATATTTTTATATTGTTATTATATATTACTTAGGTAAGCATATCCCTCTATAGGTGGGCACCGAATATGAGCAAACCTGCCTCACCCATGAATCTGGGTATTCCAGGATGCAATAAGGGCAAAGTTAATTCATCTACCATTGGAAAAAGACATTTCCACAAATTATTTGTTAAGCCGATAAAGGCTGTGCCATGTAGAAGCCCTATAATGAACACTCCATCTGAGAAGGATTTTAAGAACGAGTTAATCATTTCATATGCTTCTTCTTCCATGATGAAGCAAGGTAATGTGTGTTTCTTTATCCAAGGAGTGTGCAAAGCTAAGTATTTCCAGACATCTGCTACCATCAGGAATAAGTCTCTTTTCATGAGCATAAGTTTACTCTACTGAAATAAACTTGTTTTTTCCTCTTGCACTGAGATCATGAAGAGCTAAAGTTTGTTTGCTGCAGGACACGGTTCCTCTTCACAACCCTCCAACCAAAACACACATAAGGTTCAAGTACTTTTGCTCATGTACAGGGATTTTAATCATTCAATAAAATTCTGGGGGCAGTCAGACCGTAGTGAGTTAGTGGCAGGGAGAGGTCCATCATATCTTACGGAGAGAGAAATTTGTGCCTCTCCGTCCCAGATGATAGTTCCATGATAAGATTTAGGTCACACTTTACCTAGAAATTATTGGTGATGCAGTGAGTTTAGTAACAAATACAATCCCTGGATAAATCTAGAGTTTCTGAACAAGAAAGGTTCTAAAGCCAAAATAGACATTGGTGGAACTAGGCTGACTTTCCTGTCTGAGCCATAGAATGAAGAGAATGTCTGCTTATGTCTTATTATTATTTAAACTCATTTTTCAGCAAGTTCATTTCTGCTAACACATTATGATGAGATTTAGTCATTTGGAGCTTTGCAATACTTTCATAAATAGAAAACATTCTGCATTCCCTGGAAATAAATGAATATCAGACTTAAAAGAGGAACTGAAGGGTTTGGTCTGAAAAGGGAGCTTTATCAGTTCTGTAGCCATACTACCATAACCAATTATTTAGTTAGATTATAGTAATAGTTACAGTATCCCTTCACTCACAGAACGTCTAGTCAAATGTTACATAGTTACATAGCTGAAAAGAGACTTGCGTCCATCAAGTTCAGCCTTCCTCACAAATGTTGTTGCTGTTGATCCAAAAGAAGGCAAAAAACCTGGCCTGAAGCACTTCCAATTTTGCCACAAACTAGGAAAAAATTCCTTCTTGACCCCAAAATAGCAGTCAGATGTCTCCTTTGATCAAGCAGCTATTACCCCACTAATTAGAAATTATATCCCTGTGTGTTATGTTTTTGTAAGTATTTGTTATTTATTGAAAGTGTTTCAAAATATTAATATACAAACATTTTAAATGAAAAGGGGGAAAACAGAAAACAAATAGGGGAATAACAGCACAACCATTAGCATGTTCATAATGAAACAGTACCATTCTTACATGCAATAAACAATCTCACACATAACATAGCAATATTAATCATTATATATGAAAACATTAACGGTATATACAACACAAGCAATTAAACATTTATTTTTAAAAAAATAGCATTGGTCAATTATATGGTCTTAATTAAGTGAATATGCCTTTTAAATGTTGTCTTCCCATACGTTCCAGTAATATTTTAATTGGTGAATTAAAGGAGATGTTTGTCTAAGGGTCATTTCATAACGTTTGTTGTCTAATAACAAATACAATACTTGGTATAGTATGTAAGGTTCCATAATAGATTCTGAAGGAAAGGGTGCAGGCTTTGGGTGTTGGGGAGACCCCTTTTTATGTCAAACAACTACAAAATGCTAAGACAAAAAACCAACAAAAAAAACCCCAAAAGATGGCACTTATAGACTCTTTCCACAATAGCTACTACACTGAGCTGTAGTGGTTATGGTGCTTAGTCTGCCCCTTTAAGGAATACATGGTAATACTATGAACTATATTATGTTATAAATGTAACAAATCTCTCTTTAATGAAATAAACATTATTCACATATAAGTCGATTGGGAGAACTGCTACCCCATAACAGGAATTAAATTAATTTTAGTATTAGAATCCGGCCCCTCATTTATTTATTCTCCACAATTTCCTGTTAAATGATTAAACCCCTTGGTTAGCAAATATAGTTTAGCGCTCTGATCTAATGTGATTGGATAATCTTGGTTATTTCCTTGTTCTTACCGCAACCTATGTATTTACTGCCAAATTGCATCCAAACTAAACAGAAACCCTCAGCATCAATGGAGAATGGATGAAATGGGAAAGAGTACACACAGCTGCCAGAACTAGCAGTATTTTTCCACCTAGATACTCTTCAAAGTAGAATGTTCTTTGAGTGACCTCAACGCAGACGTTGTCCACAGACACAAGGCTTGCCATGAGCAAATAAAATGAAGGAAGCTGGCAGTACACACTCTTTGACAGGGTGTTTAGGCAGTAGAGTTAACTGGCACAGATTTCTTTGGGAAACACAATCACTTATACAGATATAGCCTTTGCTTTTAATTCCAGTTTTAACCAATGGATCCTTGATGCATTATTACAATACAACAGCAATATTTTTTCTGCTGCATATCTATGTGAGTCCTCGAATTTGGTTTATGAGCACATGAAGCAGTTATGCCATTTAGTGAATACCAAACTTTCTTGCAGTTTCTATGATCCCTATGAAACGTTTGCGCTCTGGTTGGAACTCTTTATTAACTGGAATCACAGCAAAGTTATGCTAGTTAATGAATATCAGTTCTGGTATAACTTTGCTGCTAAAAATAAACACACCAGAAAAAAAAAAAGTTTTAATAGATTGAGCTGCATGTTCTTTCTAAAGATGTACAAGGTATCATTATTTGGATTCATTTTTTAACTATAACTTTTTGAACAATCAGTGGAATATCAAAACAGATTAATTTGTGTCTCTATCGATGCAGGGCTAAAGGAACACTCTTATGTTAGGAATACAAACTTGATCTAGGGGCGATTTGGATTAAACAATCTTTAGTCCATTGCTGCGCCGGTCTTGTGGCAGATGCTGCTTATCCCCTGAATAAGATCATCATCACAGATGATCTTTGCCAATCGAATGCTTCTCCATAAGGAGGCATTGGTAGGTATAGTGCACATGCACACAATGCAGACTATGACAACACTGAACGTCGGCCCTGCAAAGATTGCAGGACCACACAAATAAGGACCGCTGGTGGCTGGCTCACTAGAGGTGATCTTATGGAGAGCTTAAGGGGACAGATCTTTGCACCCTTATTACATGAAATGGACATTATAAGCACCAACAAAGGTTCAGCTTAATGGCATGGTTTTGATGCATAGATCACGCTCCTGCACTTGAAAAAAAGGGAGTTTTAATTTCAAATATTAACTCACTTTATCATCTGTACTGTAAATTTACCTTTAACCACACAAAGGAGACTCCTGCAGGGTCGAGTGACAATTGACAGAGCAAAGGATGATATATTCTAAATTAAACAGAATATGCAATAAAGCAAGTTTAAACATTAGATCTCTCCTTACAGGAAGTGTTTAGGAAGGCTTTGCAAGTCACATACAAGGAGGTGTTACTGAAGTTGTATAAACACAGTGATTTAACTCCTAGACTGTAGGGGCATGATTTATACACCAAAACGGCTTCCTTAAGCCAACGTTGTTTTCGTCCCTTTAGTATCCCTTTAAACCGTAGTGGTTCTAGTGCTTAGAGTGTCTCTTTAAATTTATACTGTTCTAGAGCGAATCTATTCTGGTTATGGAGTTTTATTTATACTTCTCCCTTGGCCTTCATTTACATTGGTTTAAATCAGGCTTCCCCAAACTCTGGCCCTCCAGATGTTGCTGAACTACAACTCCTATGATTCTCAGCCTATCTATTTCATTCATAGAATCATGGGAGTTGTAGATCAGCAACATCTGGAGGGCCAGAGATTGGGGAAACCTGGTTTAAATGTTCATCACATTTCAAATTTCAAAGAAAAACACGGTGGCTTTCTGTCATACTAATTACTAATAATAATTTAATTAAGCAAAAATAAAAACGAGGCTTCCTTTGACTGTACGTTATACATCATTTGTTTCAAAATATCAGTTTGTGCAGAGACCAGGTATCGTCTGAGATTTTTATCCTATCATATTTATGGCTAAAGTGTTCAAGTTTATATAGCTTAGTTGTGCATTTTCATTAATAAAGAAAATACGAAACTACTTGGCAAATAAAGAGCAGCCAGGATTATGTTATAATAACATGCACATATTTGTGTTTCTTTGTGGCATTTCTTTTTTTTGTGTTAGGATTAATTTTTTCTACCAATTTACCCACAGGTCCAACACCAGAATGAAAGTCTGGGTTTTCTTTGTCCTGTGCCTGGCTGGCAAAGCACTAGCTGCACCTGTGAGTACACCTTCTGTTTTTATATGAAGAGGTTGTAAGTGTTACTACAATGTTTCATAACATGGATTTATTCTTTCAAACAGCAGCAGGATGCTCTGCCAGAAGAGGAAGAGGTGATAGAAGATGTTGTGACCGAAGTAAGACTATATAGATACTCTTCTTGTCTCTGATATTTTTAAAAAGAATTGTGGAACACTTATGCCCTTTATATTTGCAGGAATCTGTAGGAGCCAACCCTGTACAGGTTGAGGTTGGGGAGTTTGATGAAGCAATTGAGGAAGAGGAATACGTCCCCGAAAGTATGTATAACAAAATCCCAACTACTCAAAATGGTGTAACCTTTATTAAATACGTGCACAGATAAAAACATGGTGTTACAGATTAAAATAAAAAAGGCAGCAATAGCTGATTATAAAATAAATCTTTTAATAAGCAGAACCAAAATATATACCCACTGGCCCTTTTTTTTGTTTCCTTTTCTACTCCTCTGAAATAAAGGCCTCTTCTGTTGCTTTGGCTTTTTTACTATTTCTTTATATATTGACTTTCATTATCTATTTTCTATTTTTCTCTATTAAAACCTTTAAAAAAATAGATCCAAATATTTATGTATATGGCACTATTATAGTGACTTATTTTTCAGGAATAAGTAAAATTAGTTTAGTGTCCCAGTTTTGTAATATAATATATACTAAAACAAATTATGGGAAACAATTTAATAAAATTTTGTCAAAGTGTGCTACAGTTAATCATTTATTGTGGAAAGTTGCCAGTGGCCTGAATACTAGGAGAAAAGTGAATTCAAAGCAAATTACAAATTTAATGCCAATGTAACCAAACTAAAGAAAATTCTTCCATTTCGGCTAATTTGACCTTAACTTTGAAATTCACTTTGAATTCTCACAATAAACCATGTAAAATAGCAGGTGGACCCTGGAGTTAATAACCACTGATGCACAGTATGTACAATCCAAGGAACATGCCTGTTAAACCTTTTTGGTTAAAGCAAGCCATGCATTTTATAATAAGCAGACCCTTAGGGAAATGTATAGCCTATTTATAAAAATATATTGCCCTCTACTTATTATTATGTAAGTTAGAGTAATCTGTGATTTAGATGTCAAAATGAGATCTAACTGGCAAACTCTGATGGTGACCGTAAGTGCTTCTTATATAGGATACGGACAAGACTGAACAAAGTTTAAATTATACCAAGACAAGTTACCAATAGGTCATGCTTTTTATGATAGTCCTAAAACATTAACTTCTGGGAAGCTGCCTGATTAGCCTTCTAGATTTCAACCAGTACGTTTTATATTTTATAGATCCATGCCTAAACCATCATTGCAAGCACGGCAAGGTGTGTGAAGTGGATGAGAGCAACACCCCATTGTGTGTTTGTCAGGACCCCTCAACTTGCCCAGCCAGTGTTGGAGAGTTTGAGAAGGTAGGCCCATATATTCATGGCGATGCAAGCATGTGGAATGAAGGAATTTCTTTTAAAGCTGCATATCATTTGATACATGTACCAGTCAACAGCAACAGACTACCTGAGCATGTACATTTCAAGGAACAAGCTATATAGTTTTATTTGGTTGTTGTGGTATTTACTATATTTAAATGGTTCTCTTTCAGAACTGTGATTAAAACAAGTGTCAATAATAGTTTAATATATCTGTATGTTTATGTCCATGTCACAGAGTTAGAGGGAAATATAGTATGGAGCAGCTGTGGAACCAGTGGTTGCCTGTTCATTATGAAACGTTTTAGATGAGGGACAGGCTATTCCTATTAAAACACATGTAGTATACAGTTGTACAAGTAATTCCACAGTTATTCGATTATTAATTTTTATAATACCTTCATGTTTCTTTACCTATTATCATATCTAGGTCTGTGGCACTGACAACAAGACTTATGACTCTTCCTGCCACTTCTTTGCCACCAAATGTACCCTAGAGGGAACCAAGAAGGGTCACAAGCTGCACCTGGATTACATTGGACCATGCAAATGTGAGTAACATGAGTAATACCATACCTCCAAACAGCCCTGGTCCTGCCTGAACAGTACTGGTTTTGGACTCCTGTTATGCCTTACTGGGTTTCTGCCATTGCCAGAGATATTCAACAGAGCTGGCAAGTCTTGTGTATAATCCCAGTGCACAAGGTAACACCCTTTTTGGGGTGCACCTCCTTTTTCTGGTCACCTGTACAATTCAAGTAAAACGCCCCCCTAGTTTGTCATGTACTTCTCCTAAACTTCTCCTATTGATATTAATTCCTCTAAATTGTATGATATATTAATAGAAAGGGAATAAAAAGGGAATGTACATAATTAGAGAGAAATACAAAACATGTCTAAACCTACAAAACATACTAATGATGTTGGTCTGTCTGTGGATTTATATAGTGCATAGACATAGAAAGTCCTGTTTCTCTGTATACTCTTATTGCCATTTCAGGGAATTCTTACTTCTACTACTACTACTGTTCTGCATCAGGCAGAGTCCTTGCTTTATATCGTACAGGCAAATATAATCATAGAACTAAATTTATCTGCTAACACATAGGAGCAAAGATTATTCAGTGCCTTATAAGAAATGAAAAATATACTGTGTGCAGTGCAATAGTACACTAGTCCTTGGAAGGTGCGAACAACCCAATCTCATTATAATTGCACCAACTATGTGACAGCCCCCTTGCTGTGCTGTTCACCTTTTAAACCTAGTTGGTTGTGTTAGTTGCTGGGATGAGATAGTATGCAGACACTTTAAGGGAGATTTGATCTACAATTTCAGATGAGTGTATACCTGATGATAGTAAGCTAGAACAAATCAAACCAGCACTGGGAATGACTTGTACAAATCTCAGAAAAAGTATGGACTATAAATTAAAGTAGTAGTTAATAATGACACAAAAATAAAAAGTACAAGCTAAAACAAATTATCTTCAGCATGCACAGACATACTTGGATTTTCCACTGTCATCATTTTATTATGCCCCAGGGGTTATCGTGCTTCTCTGACTGGTTTAAGCATGTGGAATTCCCATGGGGAATATGTATTTTCCAGCTGCATTAAGTGAGCTGTCGCATTCTTGCTGGCTCATCTCTTTCATTCAACAAAACCAAAGCTTGGAGAGGCCAACCTTGGGGCCTAATTCCTTAGGTACACAGATATGTCCTGGCCTACACTTTTGTCTTGAAAGAGCTTTGTTCAGGTCCTGTAGGTATAATGATGCCTGAACAGTAATTTGTGGATAATTTGACTATCTTTGGGTTCTCTGAGAGCATCAGTGGGTGGAAGAATAGAATATTTTTTTTTTTACAATGAGCTCTCTGTAACAGCCAAGTATGCTAGAACAAACATTTGTTCTGGAAGTCAGTCCTTAGGAGTCTTACGTTTCCTAAGTTAAATGTAAATATCTACCTCCCTATTCACATTCAGCCTCCTAATATCCTTGTGGCACCAGAATACACAATGCATTATTGCTCCATCTATCTCCTCATATCTTAAAACCTTCAAATATCACAATCCTCAACAATACAGCAGAGCTTAAAACAGTTAGTGAAAAAAAAAACTATTTACATATGACATTCTTGCAAATGTGTAAACATGGAGAAGGTATATGGACCCATCAAGATACTATATATATACTACTCAAGTGTTTTGAACAAGGCAGCTGAAATATCATCAAAATTTGATACTCTGGGTCATTGGTACCAAAACAATTTCACATTGACCTTGTTTTATGTAGAATCAATTTGTTTTATCAGTATGTAAATTGACGTAGAATTGACGTAGAATTTAGAAATTGCTAAATCGTGGTAAGAATATTGATTTGAGGTTCACTGCTTTAGGAAACAGCTGAGTGACCCTATTTGGAGAGCCTATTTAATGTAGTCAACTATTAGTGTCAGCATTTCATATATCTGGTTGCAACAAGTGATGAATATAGTAGAGGGCAGAGTAGTAGCAACATGAATTTGTCTTTTTTTTAAAAGCTATAACAGACACCCTGTTATCTTTGATTTGCCCTACTGAACACTTTTAACATAGTTTAATGTTAACCACATTGTAAGGATTTATTTTATTTGCCACTTAAAATATATTTAGCAGGCATGTAGGAGGGAAATGGGCATCAGTCTAAATTGGACTTGACCAAAGATCTTTAAATGCATTGTGTTATACACTCTATACTAAGTCAACAAATCCTCTCTTTGTAGAGACTTTCTTGCCATATTTAGCCTTACTACAATCTTTACCCCTGTTCACACACAGTATTTTAACTCTAATATCAGGGTTTGTCAATCCTGAGCCGAATTTTACATTATATTCACTATAATTTAATGAAGCACGATCTTTGTTGTTGGACTTTTTGGGATATGCTTAACTAGTGGCAAAGTAGGTTTAATATGAGGAATGATATTAGAATAAGTTCAAGATAAAAAAATAATCATTCTGTTCCCTTTTGCGTACTTGCAGACATCGCGCCCTGCGTCGACTCTGAGTTGAGTGAATTCCCCCTGCGTATGCGTGACTGGCTAAAGAATGTTTTGGTCGGTTTGTATGAACGCGATGACAACAACAACCTGCTGAATGAGAAGCAGAAAATGAGGGTAAGTAGTCCATTGTGGAGGAAGAATGTCATTGTAATAGGAACTTATTATTCCTCCCACTACACATCTATTTTATTATCTACCACAGGTGAAGAAGATTCATGAAAACGAGAAGCGTTTGGAAGCCGGAGATCACACTGTGGAACTGCTGGCTCGTGACTTTGAAAAGAACTACAATATGTACATCTTCCCTGTACACTGGCAGTTTGGACAGCTGGACCAGCATCCCATTGATGGGTAGGTAATATAGTCAGACATACAATGTGGGAAACACCATGCGCAACTATATAAACAAAGATGTTGGGGAGCATGAGCTGTGTTATAAGCAAAAGAGGTAATAGACGGGCAAAATGGCAGATCTAAAAATCAATGCAGGTTATTTGTGTAGCAACCCAGTTACAGGAAATAAACACAATCACTTGCCGTTTGGATGCAGTACAAATAATTTACTTTCACATACAAGTGTTATCTTAGGATGTATTTCACCAAGCAAGCACCTATGAATACTCACTGTGATTTGTTTCATACCAGTAATAAAAGCCAAACACTAAGGACAAACATGTTTTATCCAGTTTATAATAAAGGAGATAAAGATGCGAAAATAGGAATAAAACTAAAAAAGACCCTACTGGAAGCAAGCGAAAGAAACACCATGATGTGGAAAGGAGTGACATAATGAGAAATGAGGGATTGCCTTTAGCACAGTTGACACAGCACAACTGTACAAATATATCAATTTATCTTTTACTACAATACAATTAATTATATAGCACCATCATATTGTGCAATGATGCATCTATCAATCTATCTACCTGTCTATCTACCTACCTACCTACCTACCTACCTATCTACCTGCCTACCTACCTACCTATCTACCTATCTACCTACCTATCTATCTATCTATCTATCTATCTATCGGTCTATCAATCTATGTTTAGTAGAAGAAGAGAAAATGATTGTATATACATGGTACAGAAATCCACAGGCAGTGGATATTAGCCCTAGAGAGCAGCAGACATAAAGGTTGGAAGTGTTAAATCCAGATCCCAATAAAGGTTTATTAAATTATTTAGTCTTCTTATTTTGTGAATACCGTAAAGGAGAGTTTATGTGGAAAATAAGAAACATATTATCAATGTATAAACATATGTATAAACATTTTTCTTTGTAATAAAATTTAATAGGATTTTTTAGGTAATTTTGTTAATTGTGTATGTGAATGACATTTGTGGCATTATAAGGGTTGAGTGTTCTGACAGTATGTGATCTGAACAATAACATTAAACACACAAACAGAGATTAATGTACATTTTACAACATGTTTAAACTAGTAGGAACATTAAACACGGGTCAAAAAAATTAAACCAGGAAGAGGTCAAATAAAAATGGAACAATGCAGAAATGGGGAATAGGAAAGCGAGGGAAGATGAATTCCTCAAAACCTATAACAGTTAACTCATCCATGAGACAAATGTCCCTGATTTGGTAAATCGCTACCACCCAGGGTGTGATGTTGTTTCAGGTGTTAACATGCAATAAAGCCTTTTGTACATTTCTCTCCAAGTGTGTACTTCTGTTTGTGTTCCAACTGGGGCCTGGATTTTCTATATTGTAACCATACAACATTGTCCACAGTTAGGCAAACTGATAGCGTGTCAATAACAGTTAAATCTAGAATTCTAATTGTCTCTATATATAATACATTTTGCAGAAAGTGCAGAGGAGAAAAGAGGCACCAAAGTCACAGTTTTTACAAGCAAACCAACAACACTGGGCATTGTTTCAGAAAAAAAAAACTATTTGAGGAAACACAGTTATTGTCAGTCCTCTTTTATCATTACTAGTGATGTCCCGAACGGTCCGCCGCGGATGGCGAACATATGCGCTGTTCGGTCCGCCCCCATGTCATCATTGAGTAAACTTTGACCCTGTACCTCACAGTCAGCAGACACATTCCAGCCAATCAGCAGCAGACCCTCCCTCCCAGACCCTCCCACCTCCTGGACAGCATCCATTTTACATTCATTGTGAAGCTGCATTCTTAGTGAGGGTCTGGGAGGGAGGGTCTGCTGCTGATTGGCTGGAATGTGTCTGCTGACTGTGAGGTACAGGGTCAAAGTTTACTCAATGATGACATGGGGCGGACCGAACAGCGCATATGTTCGCCATCAGTGGCGAACCGTTCGGCGAACCGTTCGGGACATCACTAATCATTACCACTCTTTGCTTATAATGTTCTTTCCTTAATACAGTAGGTTCCAAAGTTCACTTTTATTTCTCTCATAATAATAGATATCTATGAGAACAAGCAGACCAATTTGCTAGTCCATGTCCATAAATACACAATGCTTGTAAGTCTGTAAAGCACATAATTGTGCATTCCTTGCCATTACTCAATACATTAACATTTACATAGGTATGAGTGTAGTATCCAGTTTGTTACATTTCCCAGTTTTTAGTAACGGCCACATACTGACCTTTTGCTTCTGATTTCTCATTTAAAGGTACATTTCCCACACTGAGCTGTCCCCTCTCCGTGCGCCTCTGATCCCCATGGAGCACTGCACCACTCGCTTCTTTGAAGAGTGTGATATCGACAATGATAAATACATTGCATTGGATGAATGGGCCAAGTGCTTCGGCATCAAGGACCGTAAGTATAAAGAACTATCAACTTACCATCTAAACAGCTGTAAAATACAAAGTTGATGTCTTTTTTGCAAATTGTGTATTTTTTTATTTATCCATCATGCTGGATATGGCAAAATAGATACATAGATAAAAGGTTAGTTTTCTGAAACACAAAAAAGTAACTGCTTAAAGGAATGCCACAGTGTTATGGATACAAACAAGAAATCCTAGTATTCGAGTCCCTATTTAGATTAAGCCCCTCTCCCCACACCTGCAAAAATATGTATAATTTTTCCAGCGCCGAGACTTACTCAGTACTCCTGCCTGTTCCTTCTCCCAATACTTCATCTGGCAGGAATGGCTAAAATGCCTTCATTGCCTTCTCATCCAATCCATAGGAGACAAAAATCACATATGGGGCAAGTGCAGCGCTCGTCCAATCAAATACTTCTCAAAGGCAAGCATTTCATCTATTGCTTCCCTTTGAGCAGCATTTGATGATGTTCAACACCCTCATGGAAGTCAAACGCCAGATGGCCGAGTCAAAGTTGGTTGTTCCAGTGGAAGCCCCTCTAGTGGCTGTGAGGAAGATAGCAAATAAAGGTGGGCTTGACCTGCAATGAAAACATTGCCACTTTTGCAAAACAGCAATGTTTTTCATTGCATAGCTGTAATAAATGAATATAAATATTCTTCAATGGCTAAAATGACAGGGGCACTGTACCAAGACCACAGTACTGAGATGGATGCCTTTATTTTCCCTTTAATATGAAGTAGTTAAACCACTCCTCAGAAGATCATGGGTTTCATAAAGACTTGTTGTATACTAAAGTAAGACTTGTTGGGAATACAAATTTGCGGGCCTAAAATAACTGAATTGGAAAAAGGTCATCCAGGTCAGCAATTTCAGCTAATTTAGTCTAAAATTTCATACTGACTTTTAATTTCCAACAATTCTCTTTAGTTAATAGCTCTGTGATTGCTTTTAGTTCCCTAAGTTAAAAATATTACAAGACTAAATTTACTAACTGTTGAAAAAATGATGTATGTTTTCAAATTACTACGTATATTTAACTCATCAGTAAATCTCAAGGGAGAGGATGCAGGCTAATCCAACTTTAATTGCACAGGAAAAATGCATCATGTAATTGTAATGTGATATGTATATTTATATAGTTATACTCATTAAACGCACATATTTTGGTGTACAGATGAACAGTTATATATTCTATAGTTAATATCTAACACCTAGATTTCTGTTTTGCAGAGGATGTGAACGAAGATATGATCGTCTAAGCAACACACACGGATATCTGTCTCATACAATTTTAATTCCCTGTAATATTATTTTATATCTCCTCTTTCACGTTTTAGTTTGTAAAAATTGTCTATCTGGGTTTAGGGTGGCAAAAAGGTGCTAACATAGAAACTTAAGATTCCATTAATGGTGCTAAATCCAACAAAACAAAAATGCATTTATAAATGGAGGAGATTGCAGTGTCGCCACTAGCTCTGATATCCATTTTCTGACCGAGTCACTTTACTGTCCTACTCCCCGATCCCAACTTCCTTTCTCCTTTTGGAAAAAAAAAAAATCAAAAACAAAGATAAATAGATTGGCTTTTAGCTTTAATCTAAAGGCAGAGACTTATGTTTGTTGCTTTGCATTTTTTTTATGTTGATGGCTACCTTAAAACAGAGTGTTAAAGCAGGACTTTAACCCCTTCTCTGCTGGAGTAGCCCACCAAGCAATGAAGGGGTTAGCCCCTAACTGAAATGAGATCTGAAATGGGCTTGTCGTGAGGGCTCACTCCAATTTCTTTGTTGTGTGGGGAAGGGGAGATTTCCGCTTTACTCAAGTGCAGTATTGATCATCCCATAAAAGGACACTTTTTTGATTGGAACATTTTGACAAAATATGTGATTGGAAAAAAAATTGCTGCGCACAATTCTGTACAAAGAATAAAAAATTAAAAATACTCCATTTTTATTTACAGCAATCTCTTTTCTCACGCTTGTATGTGTCATGATCTAAAAATCAATAAGATTTAAATATTTTGATAACTAACTCTTAATAAAAACAGTAACTATTCATACTCAGCGGTTTAAGGATGTCATCAATATACCTCTGAAAGATAATCCGATACATTTTACAAATGTTAAAAGGAATAAAATATTAATGCTGTTTTTATTGAGTAATACAATAATTTAGTATTTATGTTTTGTGGTATTTTTAAGACAATTACATGACAGGGTTATTCTTGGTGACTATAGTTATTTATTTACAATAAACAGTAAAAGAATAACGCATATACATCAAGGGTTCAGAGAATATTTTTAAATCTCTCAATACCATATCATGCTCAGTGATAATATAAATATTGTCACAATCAGTTTTCATGTAAGTGGGTTTAATTTGTTCTGTGTTTTGTCGGAACATTGGAATGGATAGCCTTTTTACATCTTTATACAGGAGTGAAATGTGTATCAGTCGGTGTGCTCACAAGAATGATCCAAACTTATCTTTCATCCCATATGGAATACGATATTGGTATCTAACCAACATAAAAGTAATATCTCTGTATGTGAGTGTTAATGTAATAAATCGTTCTCATTGTTAAGACAAAGTTCTCTAGTTAGCAAATGTCAACTGGATCTGAGTGGACCAGTTAGTCAGGGGTGGAATTACATTTTCAAAGGGTGTAGCTACTAAACTTTTCATTGTAGTCAAGTTTTAGGGAGCAGAAAGTTCACTCTTTTATAGTAATGAATGCTGATTCTACAGCTCTGATTTTGATTCACACTATACATCAACATGAAAGTGTTGTCACGACTACTAATGTGATCCAACATGCAAAACTATGTAACATCTACATAGAATAGAAAAATAGACAGAACGTAGACCGGTCCTTAGACTGGCCGGATTAATACGTTGAAAGACAGAGAATGGTCTAGTAAAAGCCGAGGTCAAGGAAGCCAGAAATACATCGATTAGAAAGCCAAGTGGGGGGGGAACTAGAGATCAGAATAGTCAGGGATAGCCAAAGTCAGAATACCAGGAATATCAATAACAAGGACAAGAAAACGCACTCTCGGGAACCAGAAACGGAAACCACAACAGGGCAATGAGGTAGGGAAATTCAGGGGTTTAAATATCCCTCCTTGGGCTGTGATTGGTCAGAGCTTGGCCTCTGACCCGAGAATGTGTGTGTGCGTCGACGTGGTGAGTCACACGCACTTACATGTGACCTTTGGAGGCGGAGCCACAAATGGTCGCGACCTCGTGGTCAGCGCCATTTTGGATCCGAGTGTGGAGGGGACGGATGCCATAGCGGGTCGGCTCCTGGCTCGTTGCTGAACAGGTAATTCCTCCAACCTGTCAGCGTGATCACACCAATCTGGTGCGACCACGTGCAGCCGCGAGCCGTGGCTGTGATAAGTGTTGTATATAGATATAAATTGCAATCAAATTTTATTTTACTGTTGTTATCTTAATATTTACATATTTCACCTGTCCAATTTTGCTGAGTGCCTGGATATACACAAGTCTAAAAATTTCCATCGTAATCAAAGACTATCAAAATATCATCTTCTACATTCGGTAACATCACTAGGCATCACCCAGCAATTTCCAAGGTTGAGCAGCTATAAAAGTCTCTTACAACAATATAAAAGGGCTCAAAAGACCACTTTCTACACAAACTGAATTTTCTTTTGCTAAATACAGTTTCTTACCTGGCTCGACCATGCATAACACATGCATAAAAACGAACCCATTATTTTCTATGTCCTTTTTATATGTGGTATATAATGCAAAAGAAAACAACTATCCCAATGGGTATAGATGGTGTGCTCAGGAGACTTATAGATAGGAGGTAACCCAAAAGAGGAAACACAAAAATAACCAGAATCAAATATAGCAAAGCATATAGGACATAAAAAGGTACATAAAAATAATAGAAAACAAATGAGTATATTAAACTTTATTGCAAAAACATAAGTCTACAAAAGGACAAGCAATTTTGCTAAGTGCTAGAAAAAGGGAAAATAAAACAAGAGAGAACTTTTCATGCGATGTCCACAAGTATATATAGATACAATATGGTAGAGCAATAGTATAAAATGTATACATCTTTTTTTCACGAAAGGAGCAATTCATCTGAGTCTATCAGATGTCCCTTAGGGCTAGAAAGAACTACAAACTGTCTCCAACTACAAAAATATATTATTAAAGTTAAATTAAAGAGACAGCTCTTCAGGTGATATCCAGACAGAAATAGTAAGATAACACCAGCTCAACAAATGTATGAAGTGCCACTATGATAGGATCCCCTTAGGTAGTAGAAAACATATGGGATCCAAAGGTGCACCAAAAATCCAAAAGGGACAGTAAAATGACCAGTCTGGTTTCAGGGCCCAGTTTTCGATACAATGAATATGCAAATATCCCGGAATGGATTCAGATGTATAGAAGACCCATTCACAAGTGCCCAGGCTCCTATACGAGCAAAATAATAAAGCAAATCAATACATAATAGTGCTAAAGTGATGAGTGCAACTACCGTGCAGCTGTCACGACTGCTACTGTGGTCCAACACGCAGAACTATGTAGCATCTACATAGAAAATAGAAAGGAAATAAAAAGGACAGAACGTAAACCGGTCCTTAGAATGGCCGGGCTAATACGTTAGAGACATAGAATGGTCAAGGGATAGCCAAGGTTAAGGAAGCCAGAAATACACAAATACCGTTTAACAAGCCAAGCCAAAGGAACCAGTAATCAGCGTAGTCAGGAATAGCCAAGATCAAAATACCGGAAATCACAATAACAGCAAGGAAAAACGCACTCTCAGGAACCAGGACAGGAAACCACGACAGGGCAAGGTACTGGGGTGAATCAGGGATTTAAATATCCCTCTCTAGGCTGTGATTGGTCAGAGGGTGACCTCTGACTCCAGAACGCGCATGTGCGTTGGCTCCGTGACGTCACACGCACGTCACTATAACCTTGGGGGACAGAGCTATTGATGGTCACGACCGCACGGTTGGTGCCATCTTTGATTTGTGCACACTGCCAAGAAGACGTGGAGGTGCGGTTCCCGACTCACCGCTGAGGAGGTAAGCAAAGCTTGTCGGCGGGGTCGGGCACAGACGCGCCACGCAGCAAGCCGGGAGCCGTCACAGCAGCAAGCAGAAATGCCTTAACCCCTTATCTAGTACTATGAATAATTGTTCTTTTCTGTTGTTGTTTTTGGTATATCCCCTTTTTAGACTTAGGTTTTTGGAATAAAGTTTAAAATACTCATCTGTTTGCTCTTATTTTTATGGACCTATTTATATCTTATATGCTTTGGCATATTTTATTTTGGGGTTTTTTATGATCTCTTTGAGACTGATTTCTTTCTGCCACCAAAAAATGTTTACATATAAAGATACAATTGAGAATGCAAATGCAGTCAAAACCACCAACACATTGTTGGCGCAGATTTGGCTGGCCTTTATCCACCTTCTACTTGAAAATGACCTGTGCAGCTCACTATTTAAAGTCAGACAAAAGGCTTTCCTAAGTTAACCCAGAGCTAAAAGAGGATGCATTGTAGTCCATCTGAACAAACCTCTGTCTGCGACTATACACGCTTTAAGTCAGAATAGTTTTACTAGTGTGCGTGCTACAACTGTAAAGTATCCTCTGGAGAGTTTTATGAAGTTGATATTATTCAGAGCTCTTTCTTAGCAGAGTCTAGGCTGATTCTACAGTATTTTATGGTACTTCCATAGTACAGTTTAGAATTTAGAGCAATCATGAGTGATAATACCCAATTTGTGTCCAGAGTATTTTTTTTATTCTATTTTTTGGTTGAGATTTTCAAAAACATTGAATATGTTTGCTTATCTTTTGCATCAAGATAACAGTATTAACAAAAGCAATAAATACGGTTGCTTGACATTTGCATCGTTATAACAGTATTTTACAAAAACATTGAGTATGTTTGCTTATCTTTTGCATCAAGATAACAGTATTAACAAAAGCAATAAATACGGTTGCTTGACATTTGCATCGTTATAACAGTATTTTACAAAAACATTGAGTATGTTTGTTTAATATTTGCATCAAAAGGAAAGTATTTACAGGAACCATAACAAGGTTTAGGGGGATGTAACAACTGGGTCCAGTACCATCAGTAATTAAGTAGGTTTGTCCCTACATTCATTTTGTTGTTGGATGACAACCCTTGTCCGTTCCTCAGCCCTCACCTCTTGCTTGGGAAGGCATAATGGTTCATCCCTTAACTCAGAGGATGCTAGTCCCATGGGTCTCAGGTTCCCTTGTAGGATTAAATTCAAGCTGGTTCTGTGCATTGCCGCTAGGCGCTGTGGGGTGTAGTACCAGCGGAACAGCATTTTATAGGCTTGTTCTTGGTGTGTAATGCAGATTGTTATTGAGGTTAGGGGAGTCCATATGTTGGCCCAGGCTTTAGGATCATCAGGAGGGCCCAGGTCTCGTTCCCATGCTGTGATGTAGGGCAATGAGATTTTCATGTGGTGTGTGGCCAAGTTGATGTATAAGTCAGATATTTGCCCTTTTCGTGTGGGTGCTCTAATGTAGTCCCGTTCAAAAGGGGTCATGGCTGATGTGGCTATCTGCCATATTGCTGGGGTGGAGGCAAAGCTCTTCAGCTGCATGAAGCGGAGGTGGTCGAATCTTGTCGGTGTTGTGGCCTCAGGAAGTGCTGAGTATTCGCTAAGCTTTCTATCTGGGTATAGGTGTCGTATGATGTCTCGGCATTCGAATTGTGCGTAGTGTTTAGGTGTGCGGCCTGCAAGGAAGAGTTTGTCATGCAGGATGGGAGTGAGAGGCGATAATTCGGTGGAAAAATCTAATCTGTTTCGGTGTTTGTCCCAGAGGTCTATTGAGTATGTGATTGCAGAAGATGTCTTGGGGGTAGCTGTCTTTGTTGTCTCGGTAGCCAGATGTATTAGGAAGGGTGGTTGTAGCCAAAGATTTCGTGTTCTAAGTCCACTCATCTCTTTTTCCCTGGGGGGACGTGTTATTGTTGGATCTGCGCTAAGTGGGATACTTGTTGGTAAAGTGTGACGTTGGGGAGTCCCAGTCCACCGGATCTTTTGGGTAAACTGTTAATAGCTCCGGACTGATTCCTCTCTTGCAACTGTCATTAGTCTAATACTATCCATATCTTTTGTGTCACTTTACCCCACTCTCTCTAGCATGTAAGCTCATTGAGCATTGCCCTCAACACCTCTGTTCCTGTGTGTCCAACTTGTCTGGTCACAACTACATGTCTGTTCGTTCACCCACTGTAAAGCGCAGAATTTGTTGGCGCTATATAAATAATAACATAATAATAATACTACTACTAATAATAATACGTATAGGGTAGATCTGCACATTCTTAGTTTGCGGTCATTCCATATGAAGGTGCCTATCGCGGTTTGGAGTCTACGGGCGTCTGTTGGTTTACATGAGATGTGTCGAGAGTTTCTAACCAACTTCAATAGAACATTGAGCTTACATATTGTCTTGTCCAATCAACATTTTGGCTAACAAAACTTGCCCATCTGTCCCAAACAAGCTGATTAACAAAATTTGCCTTAAAG